CTGGCTAATGCAGGGCCGAAAAGGGCAGGAACCACGCTAGTACGGGTTCTACCCTCTGGCTGGCTAGGTGAGGGAGGCAAGCTTGGCTGTGCTGGGTGTGCCTTTGTCCGCCTGCGGGGGAGAAGCTCCGCCGCATCGGGGTGGTGGTTGCGGTCCTGCGAGGGGATCTCCAGAAGTGGGGACGGTGGTGTGGCTGAGGGGGGAGGGATCTCCCAGTGTCCCTCTTTCGCGGCTGGTGTGATGAGATGGGTTTTTGAGTTAAAATCTTTTAAGGCATATGGGTTTTCTAATTATGAAATGAGCCAGAGAGGTTCCATCTTGTTTCTTTGTATAAAGTATCTTTGCTATGCTGACAAGTTGTTTTCTAGGCGAGCAGAGAAAATGTTATTCTGAAAGCCTGAGAAAGGACTCGGTGTGATTAGATAGATGGGAATTGTTGTGACTCTTTGATAAACCACAGAAAACCCAAATAACATCTGGTGCGTATGGGAAGGAAGTCATGTGATGTAACAGGACTGTTTGCCTAGTAACGAACTCTGATTGGACGACATCGTGGGAAGGTGCATTAAGCCCTTGCCAGTTACTCTTGAAAAAGGAACTTTTTGCCTATGGACTTTGTCTTTCTAAGACCGACCTTTCAGTCATTCGTGACCTACTCTTCAGCCATTTGGGACTGGTGGCCTACCTACATGGACTGGTTCCTATGCTTTGCTGGATTACTTTTGGACTTATGGGATTTTTCCTAAGGACTGTGCATGGACTATTTTCTATGGACTGTTCTATGGGATATTCTTTATGAACTCCTTTTCTTGGAATACTCCATATGGACTATGCTCTTGTAATTTTGTAAGGACTATGGTATATTTACTGGATATTTCTTTTCTAAGGACTATGGGACATATAATGGATTTTTACTTTTGTTTAGGGGTTTTTATTCTATAGTATCACTGAGGACTATAGCCTTTTTATAACCTACTTGGATTATTTTGTTTTTACTAATGATTTCCTAGACTGGAACTGTTTTTATTCTTTTTATTGGCTTTTTGTGTTTTTGTAAGGTTTTTGAACTCTTTTATATTTTTCATGTTTTCTTTGCCTCACTACATCTGTGTAACTAAACAGCACAATGCTAGTTTATTCGTTTTGGTTTAATTTGGCTTTGATACTTAGTAACATGCTTTTTCTTTAATAAAATAAAGATTATAAAACTCAATTGGTTTTCTGAACAGTACACTTGTCATAGGGTCATCTGAGAGTGCTGCCTCGGCCTAGCTTACTTAGAGTCCTGTCAGTGGTGCAAGTTAAGTCTAAGGACTACAAAGCCCACTTGACCTTTTCACAATAATATCTGAGAGTACCAGGGTGTTCTTATGTGGGCAGACCTGCGAGAAGGAGTGTTGTATCAAGGCTAGCTGAGATTGGACTCACTCAGCCCATTTTAGCATCTGCAAACTCCTGATTGCTCTCTGTCCAAGCTTACACGTGTGTTTTCGAACCCGTGTTTGCGACAGCTGGTACGTCCTCCAAGGCGTGTGGCTTGCTTCTCTTGGAGCCCTCCCTTAGTTTAGATGGAGCCTTAGCGGGGGGTGGTTTGCTTCCCGCTTTGGAGGCAGTTTTCTTCCTCGGCTTCTCTGGGGCCTTAGGTGCCTGCAGTGGCGGCGACGGGGTGGTAGCTCCCTTGAGACCCGGGGCCCCCAGAGGAGTATTGTCCCACTCCATATTATCTTGGTGAGGTACGGGACGTGCCTTGCCCTAGGGATAAAGCTGCCGCTTGTGCTGTGGGGCTCTCAGGGCTGCCTTGGCAGAGTCGCTGTAAAGGCGGCACGGGCGTCTAAGTAAAATTTGCCAATGCAAAAGGGACTCATGATGTAGAGTTGCCGTGGAGCGTTCCAAGGTCCAAGCCCGAGGAGTCAGTCCGATAGAGGGAGGAAATCCAATATCCTTAGTCAGTGGTCCGTGTCAGTCCAAGGGTAACGCGTTAGAAAGGGGAATATCCGAAGGGAAGGTCAAAACGTAGCCAAGATTCCAAGAATATCTCGAACTTAAATTCAGAGCTCCGCAGTGGCGGAGAAAAATGGAACTGGCATGGGCGGGCGGGACATGCGCAATGGGGGTAACACCTACATCATTCCTTTGTTTTCCCTAGAAGCTCTAGAACACTCCGAGGATTCCTGCGCAGGCACAGTTGACCCCCAGCAGTGTGATTCACAGAGTCCACGTTGAAGAAGGAAACCGATACAGACCAGATATCCAAACTCTAGTGGTTTTGGAGTTGGGGAGATGGCTGAAAGAGGCTTTGATTTTGAGGACGTAGTTTTCTTTGGTGGCAAAGGTTCAGCCGCTGAGGGAGCGTCCATGGACAGTTTCCTCTTTAGTACTGTCTTCTATGTCGAGGGCTTCAACTTTGACTGCTTGGTTTTATGCAGTTGCATGACCATGGATGTGGAGGGCAGGGAATCGGAGTGAGATGGAGTAGCTGACGGGCACTGTTTTGCCACCTTGGAAACTGCTTTATCCATGGCCTTAGCGTGGGATATGGACTTGCAAGGAGGCTGAGCCATGGGTTTAGCCAGCTGGAGAAATTGCTCCCTGAGCCAAAGCTTAAGTCTAGAAAGACATCTGCAGGGAACCCTGCGTTTAAAGTTCTTGCAATGAGGACACAATGAGGTTTGACGAGTCTCACCGAGGCAAAAAAGGCATTTAGCGTGGCCATCTGAGAGTGGAATCTTGTTATTGCAGGCCGTGCAGTGCTTAAACAGGCCAGAAGAGGCCATGAACTGAAGATCGGTTATTGGGGGGGGGAGGGGAGAGAGGAATTGCTTTGGCCTTAAAGCCAGAGTGTATTTTTTCTTGGTCTGCAAAGACAGTATTAGTAATAACTGTTATATTAAGGTTAAAATTTAAGAGAATTTAATAACTTTTCTTTCACTTTCTGTTTTCACTCAAAAGGAACGATAGATACTGCCAATGCGGCAGTTGAAAAAAAAAACTGAAGGGAGAGCCTTGGTGCCAAGGTACATATGTTGAGGGGAAGGTATCTTTTTGCTTTCGCAAAGCTCTAGAATATCTGATGAGGCTCTGCGCAGTTGCGGAAGATTTACCCAACCACTATCTGATTTACCCAACCACTGTCAGTTGCAATCAATGAAATTAGATCACCAGAAGCCATTTAAACCATGGCAGATCCATTCCTTGGATCCAGGGCGGGGTTTCAGAATGCCTGGGCCAGGTGGGAGGTAGGGAAGAACTCTCCTCTAGGCCCAGCAGGGGACAGGATTCTCCTTGTTTCTTTCCTCTAACCCAATGTCTCTCTGGCAGGCTGGGGTGGGCTCTCAGCCAGAATGAGGCTACAATTGCACCGGGAGCTGAAGAGATCAGCTTGAAAGGGCAGCAATAGTTCTAGGGTAGGATCTGTGCTCCCCAGGCAGAGGTGCAGATCTACAACACATGCAGGGGGAGGAAGAGAAGGACTTCACTGGCGCTCACCTGCTGCCTACTACTTTTTTTCACCTCCTCCAGCCTATCTGGACTAGCTGGCCCCCGCCTCCTGCTGATTTCAGACAAGAGTATTAGTACATGAGCAAAAAAGTGAGGTTTTCCTTTTTTATTCTATGATTTTGGGCTGGGAACGGGGAGAGAGTTTGCACCACAGCCTCAGCTTGGAAGCGGCTTGAAAGGGTCTGTTTGTGTAGATAAGGTGGTAGCAGCAGGGCTTGCTGAGGCAGCTTAACTGCAAGAGGGTGGAGGTACTTATAATTATTGTTGCTGTGTGACAGTATAGGGATACTACTGTATTTGCTATGTGCTCATTACTTCCTGCACTTTTCAGTATTTGAAGGGACTTCCTTACTTGGCTAGGGGACATTTTCTAGGTAGGAACAAACTAGATGAATTGAATTACTGTCACTGAGTACTCCCCGCACTGTCCAGTCAGCCAAGCAGTTCAGAACCATATCATGCATGACAATAAGCTGTCAAGACATCCAGGAGAACTCTCTAGGAGAGCTCCTCTCATCTAGTCACTACTCTAAGTCCAAAGTAATGTCAAATCAAGCAATCAGTGCTGTATTTTGTCCCAAAGATGGGTTGCAATGGATTCAGATAATCACTGTCATCTAAATGAGTTTGGAATCTCAGTCATCATCTCAGCCACGAATGGTAAATTCAGTATTGCCTTTAGTTGGTCAAAATCACCAAGTCAATGTAGCTGTCATTAATAAATGTCATTTCATAGCTTCCTTTAGGCAGAAAGGGATTACCTTCCTGTAATCACTTCCTTAACTATAGCTTAAGACTCACCTTGGCAGATTTTTTTTTCAGTCAGAAAGAATTAGGATCAAGCAGACAGATCACAGCTAGAGATGGACATAACGAGGGTCCAGCCCCCTGGCGCCAGACAGTCCACTTACCTTCCACTGTTGCCACAAACTCCACAATCCTTTCCTATCGCTCCAGAGCTCGCGATCTGCAAGGCACTCCTAGCAGGAGGCGGGAGGACAAGCCTCGCTGCATGGTCAAGGAGTGGCTTGCAGACAGCAAGCTCTGGAGCGATAGGAAAGGACTGTGGAGCTTGCAGCAACAGTGGACCATGAGTCCCAGGGGGCTGCACCCTCATTATGTCCACATGTGCAGTGGTATTCATATCCTTATACGAATACAAATACCTCCATCTCTAGTCACAGCCCTTGCCACTTCAGATACATTGTCCACCCTAGCCATAGTTAGAATATTGGGAACAATAACTATGCATCAGACTCAAAGAAACACAGATGTTTATATAGTGATAAAGCACGGTTATTTTAGTTGCTCACAGCTTTTCCATGTAATCTTTTCCTAACTATCCTAATAGCTCTCATCTCTCTATATTACCCTGCAATCAAGGTATTCTAAGAAAATATTTCTAAGCTCAGCAGAGAAACACTGACATCCTAATTCTTCACCTCTAAATATTATCTGAATTTTTCACTCTAGTCCTTTAGTAATTAAGAAAAAATATATACCTTTAGCATCATCAGAGCCTGAAGCCAAAAGTTTAGGATCCATCAAATTAAAGTCCACACTCCAGCATCTTTTCTCATGCTCCTGTTTTGAGAGAACAGAATTCAAATGCATTAACAGTGAAGTATTAGTGAAAATATAAGCATAAATAAAGTAGGTGAAGTAGGAAGCTTTATTACACAAAACAAGGCCCAGATGAAAGTCTTCTCTCCCCCAAACAATAAATTTGTTTGTACTGTTTGAAACCAGACCCCAGAGAAGGCAGCTGTAGAGCCACAACACTGTCACATTTTGGAAATTGCCACTTATTTGTATTTTGAAAGATAAGGAGCTCTGATTAGTCATGTATTTAAAAAGTAGATGCCTTGGTTTTTTACCAGGCTCTGGTGAGATTTTCTTCTTTTCTGGATTAACAAATGCTGAGTATCTAGTCCCCTCCACTTCCCAATCAAATAAATGTGCTAATATTTTGGTTGGACACTGAAAGCAGTGTGCTACTTCACTGATGGCAGTATTCTCAAAAGTCAGAAGAACTATTTTTGTCAAATACATTTAAGATAAATTGCTGGGGCAAGGGAGCATTTGGAAAAAAAATGACAATCCCCTATTGTGGTGATCACCCTGCTTTGGCTCATGTCTGAGGTTATTTGCATACAACAGTGGGAGCTGTTGGGAGGCAGAGCCAGAGAAACCAGAAGGGAGGGGTGAGTCAGTGAATTCAGTCAGATGGGGATATAGAGAGAAAGGTTTGAGGAGAAAGGGAGATAATTTAGGTTTGAGGCAAAGAGAGAATTTAAGGAGTGAATAGTCAGAGTGTTATCCCTTATTGTATCTCCTGCACCTTAGCAATTCTGTATTTTACTCTGCACTTGCCTACTAGGTATTGGTTCATTGGGATATACTGAAATTTGCTGCAAACGTAATGGGATCTACTAGCAAATATTTTAGTATGTGGATGAAATGGCTGAAAAGCAATTGATTTCAACATAATCCTGGTTTTCTATCCCTATACAGTGGTGCCTCGCACAACGAGTGCCTCACACAACGATAAATTCACACAACGATGGCTTTTTCTGAAAAATTTGCCACCTCACACAACGATGTTTCCTATGGGGAATTTTCGCACAACGATTTTGGGACCATGCTTCACAGAACAATTGCATTTTGGGTCCCCTGTTTCACTTAATGATGTTGTTACGGTAGCTTGGAAGCCACCTGTCCGTCACTGCTGTAGAGGCATGTCATCTGCCAATAGCGTGACGTAAGGTGGGACATAAGGGGTGGAGCCAGTGTATATAAGGGGAGTGAATGGGTGTGAGTGCTTTAGATAGGGACCAGATAGGGACCAGATAGGGACTGGTTAGGCACCGGTTAGGGTGTTAGGGTTTGTTATTGTGAAGAACTGTGCTATATAGTGAGGGTCTGTGAGAGAGTGTGTGAGTGTGTGGTACTTTATTAGTTATTGCCTTATTATTTGAATGATTAAAGTGATTTACCATTCCTTTTGTTATTACCAATAAACACAAGTTTTTATTTTCAAAATCATTTATTAGTCTGAAGAGTCTTTTGAGGGAATGGTTGGTGGCAGCATGAATAAAGTGAGTGTGTCTTAAAGAACTATTCCAGGTCTTCAGTTAAGTCAATTTGCCCTTTTTCTAACATTTTTTGGTAAATACTTTCATTTACAGTGGAACCAGTTACCTCGGAAGTTGGTGAGTGCTCCAACATTGGAGGCATTCAAGAAAAAGATAATCACCTGGCAGATACGCTTTGATTGTATTCCTGCATTGAGCAGAGGGTTGGACTTGATGGCCTTGTAGGCTCCTTCCAACTTCACTTTTCTATGATTCTATGATTACCAATACAGTGGTGCCTCGCACAATGATGTTAATTGGTTAAAAAAAAAAGTTCTGTGAAAACATCGTTCTGTGAAACACCATTTCCCATAGAGATGCATTGAAAACCGGATAATCCGTTCCAATTGGAACGGATTGCCGTCCTTAAGCGAAAATCCCCATAGGAAACATCGTTGTGTGAAACAATGTATCCACCATTCAAATGCATTGAGTAGGCTTCAAGGCATCTCAGTGGGGGAGAAAAAATTCACCAAAAATTAACGAAGACTCAGAAACTGTTTTAAATGCTTGGACTCGTTAGTGCAGCTTGTGAAACCTTTGCAAATTTAATCTGGCTTTGTTCTGAGTCTTCGTTAATTTTTGGTGAATTTTTTCTCCCCCACTGAGATGCCTTGAAGCCTACTCAATGCATTTGAATGGTGGATACATTGTTTCACACAACGATGTTTCCTATGGGGATTTTCGCTTAAGGACGGCAATCCGTTCCAATTGGAACGGATTATCCGGTTTTCAATGCATCTCTATGGGAAATGGTGTTTCACAGAACGATGTTTTCACAGAACTTTTTTTTTTAACCAATTAACATCATTGTGCGAGGCACCACTGTATTGGTAATCATAGAATCATAGAAAAGTGAAGTTGGAAGGAGCCTACAAGGCCATCAAGTCCAACCCTCTGCTCAATGCAGGAATACAATCAAAGCGTATCTGCCAGGTGATTATCTTTTTCTTGAATGCCTCCAATGTTGGAGCACTCACCAACTTCCGAGGTAACTGGTTCCACTGTAAATGAAAGTATTTACCAAAAAATGTTAGAAAAAGGGCAAATTGACTTAACTGAAGACCTGGAATAGTTCTTTAAGACAGAAATCGGAGACCTATTTTTTACATTTACTGCTCATGATAATTATCACCCTTTACCTTTATTTCAACTTACTGTATTTTTTGCACCATAAGACTCACTTTTTCCCCACAAAACAGGGGTGTGGAAAGTCTGTGCATCTTATGGAGCGAAGAAAACAGATTATATTTTCCTGTTTTCTTCTCCTAAAAAATCGGTGCGTCTTATGGAAAGGTGCGTCTTATGGAGCGAAAAATACGGTAATCATTAACCAGAACAATAGTCATTTATTGAAATCATTTCATTCCCCATTGGGCCTCTGAAAATTTGAACTGGTGATAAAAAATAAAATTTGAATATACTGTACTAGAGCAAACTCATACACACACACACACAATTAGTCTTTGAAAATCATAAAATCAGGATTCTCTTGAAATTGCAGGAGACACACCTAGTCATGTGAATTAGATGGGGGTGGTCTTCCTGTCAAAATGTCCTTCCGCAGCTCTACAAATTGCTAAATGCTCTGCAAAAGTGCAGAAGAACCGACATGTGAGTTACAGAGACTAAAAGAAGAAAAAAATAGAAAAGGAGTATTTTTTTAAAATATTGATTGTCAGTAGGCTGAGGGAATGACAGAATTATACTCCTGTTCTTGATAACACTTTCTTGAAAGCAGTCTGTGTCAAAAGAAATGTAAGTACTTACGAGTGTCTTTATGCAAGAGCCTACCTCACTAACAGAATGCATTTGGGCAATCTTGGCCCTTCAGACATTTTAGCCAACAATTCCCATGATCTCTCACTAATATCTTACCTTAGTAGTGATTGTGGAAATAAAATCTAGAGGTTGGCCACCTGTAATTTGAAGGCAGAAAGCCCACATATCCTTGATATGATCTTCTTAGGTATATTAGAGGATCTCAGTATTTCAAATTGTTGTGGACTCAATGGTTATTATGATGCTAATATAGTGCTAATTCTATCTAGAGTGCATCCACCAGTATCAATGAAACTTCAGTTAGGCGAGACTAACAAGTCCTGTTCATTTCAATGGCCCTAAAAATGGAAGGGCTCTGAGAACAAAGGAACCATAATTAATTTTAAGCCAGACGACATGACATTCTTTAACTAATTGAACCTCCAATCCTTTGTTTCCTAATGATTTCCATTAATACTTCCACACAGTAGACAGAATTCTAATGGTGATCCAATATTTTAATGCATATTATATTTTTATAACTTTAAAATTTTAATAAAAATAAAAACAATTCCATACAGCAGATGCTCATTGTTTTCAGACCCACCAATTAGCACAGTGTACAACAGCACATACAGTGGTGCCTCGCTTAACGATGTTAATTGGTTCAAAAAAAAACCATCGCTATGGGAAAACACTGGTAAGCGAAACACCATTTCCCATAGGAATGCATTGAAAACCGGTTAATCCATTCCAATGGGAATGGATTACCGTCCTTAAGCGAAAATGGCCAAAGGAACCATCGCTAAACGAAACAATGTATCCCCCATTGGAATGCATTGAAGCCTCTTCAATGCATTCCAATGGTTTTGCGATGTCCGATTTTGCAATTTTAAGTGTGTCTTAAAAGGTTCAAAAACGGTTTTAAATGCTTGGGATTGTTAATGCACCTTCTAAAACATGTGCAAACTTTATTTGGCTTTGTTCTGACTCTTCGTTAATTTTTGGTGAATTCCGCCCCCCCCCCCCATTGGAAAGCACTGAACTGCAGGTTTGATAGCTGTCAAAATCGGGTTCAATGCATTTCAATGGGGGGGGGGAATTCACCAAAAATTAATGAAGAGTCAGAACAAAGCCAAATTAAGTTTGCACACGTTTTAGAAGGTGCACTAACGATCCCAAACATTTAAAACAGGTTTCCAACATTTTAAGGCACTTTAAAAATAGCAAAAACGGAACATTGCTAAGCGAAACAGGTGACCTAAAACTGTCATCGCTAAGCGAGGCAAGGTCCCGAACATTGCTATGCAAATTTTCCCCATAGGGAACATTGCTAAACGGAGTGCAAAATCACTCCAAAATCCTCATCGCTAAGCAAATACATCGTTAAACGAGGCAATCGCTAAGCGAGGCACCACTGTATAACATTTAACCAAGATGAAATAAGATTTGACTAGCGTCTTCCTTAGTAACAATTTTGCTCTAAGTTATGTATACCACTATTCTGTGGTAACTGAAGAGTAGCACGTTTACCTGGTAGACCTTTGATCGTTGACCTGTGAATCCATCCCACAGGATGACTGTACCTTCATAGTCACTGCTGGCCAACAGGTTTTTGTGGTAACTACTCCAGCTGATACAGCTATAAGAGAAAAATAATCACCAAATAATCGCTTTTTGAACTACAATTGTGAGCATGACACACTGAGTACTGCAGTACTTCAGGTTGAATTTATTCACCAGTAGAAAGTGTCAGCTAGTTAAGGACACATTTAGCATTGATTTTCATTCCACGTTACAAACTTAGTTTAGGCCAATCTCTGTTTAAACTCACAAAGGTGGAAAACTCAAACGAAACAATACCCTCACTGGTCTTGTATTCAATAGAGCAAATCTAAGTTGAAGCTATTTTTCCTCACTGCAAAGATATTTGAAAGAGGTAATCTACTTCTGAGTATATTTAATTCCACAGCATCTTTGTATGAGATAGTCACATTCTTAGTAGGAAACCAAATAATGTATCGAAGCCCAAATATGCTGAAGATCCCTGATTCAGAGGCTTCAATCTATGTGGAGAGTATGTGTGTCCATCACTTGGGTCATTCCAGAAGACAATTGCAGCTTCAAGTGAAACCTTCCAAGGCACTATAAAAGTAGACAAGAGTCAGCAGGGAACCATCCAGATGCATCAGCTTTCTGGGACAGGCCATCTTAATCCTCTCAAGAGGATTTAAGAACAGAATTGGTTAGAACACTCTCCTAGCAAAATAGTCTTCCTGAAATAGGTTTTGCAAGTTTCCATACTGCATGTTTATCCATCTAGAAAGAGAGAGTATAAAAGAAATTGTTTTGTTGACCTTCTCACAACCATTTCCCACTGAAGCAAAACGAGAAAGCAAAAGGAAGATGGAATGAATTCAGAAAATGTGCATTAACAATAAATCTTGGTTTATTAGTGAAGAGAAGAAATATTCAATTTTTGTGAAATACTGCATGAATATGAACCAACATATATTCAAATCTGTTTAAACTTCAGCAACTTTCTTAGCAGTGGTCACACATATAGGAAACTCCATATAAGAGAGCATATACTGTACATGGGAACAGGGCAGAGTCATCATCTGATAAGGATCTTAAGCAACATATTGGGTTCCAGGTGAGGAATCTATGCAGTCACATGGAAAAAATAGAATCCTCCTTGCTAATTAAACTAAAAATATTTTTTTATGCTAGATGGATCAAAGCAGACAGATTTCTGTTTAAGTGCTTCGTTTCAGGTCTCTGTCAAGCTCATTTTTCAAAACATGCTTCAGTTCAGCTTAACCAGATGAAGTTTTTCACATGGACATCAAATTGGATACCTTTTGTCAGGGACTATAAATCCTATTTGTGAGACTTTTGCATACAATTGTCAAAGTGACAACTGCTTTGGAAGTGCTCATGAATAAACAGCACAATATACTAATTCATTATGGGAGTGGCTACAGCTCACTAATAAAGCATATGTTCTGCCTGCAAATATACTGGCTTCAAGTTACAAGAAAGTAGATTTCAGCTAAGGAAAAGATTTAACTATAGTTCAAGCCATTTAATGAGAATGCTCTAGACATGGATTCTCTGAACTGGCAAGGTGGGGGTGGGAAGTGAAGGACCAAATGTCCTTCCAATTCCACAACTCCACATAATATATTCATATAGAGAAACCACAGTCTGAGGAACCAGAAGGTGTTACTAAAATCAGAACCTACTCTTAAGAAACTTTTTCAGGGAAAGCAGCAAGCACACAGAACAGTTCTTTTAGTCAGGTTTGGCAAACAGCATACAGTAGTTTGGTGGTCTTTGTGTTTAGTCTATATAAACCCTAGAAAAGATATCTCTGCTGTTAGCTTTTATGAAATATATTCTGCATTCTCTGAAGAATAATTAGGTTAATTAATTGGATCACAAGTTCTCAGCTCTACTTTTTTGAACCTGATCTTTCTGCTTTGAAAAGCCATCACTGCTGCTGGGTGTGAGACTGTTGTTGTTTTTAACCTGACCAAATACTGCACTGAACAGGGTCACTCTAGAGTTTGTAAACAGAAGCACCTTTCTCAGAGCAAGTACGTTTGGCTGCTCCTGTCTCAAGGGAGGAGCCTACTGCCAGAGGTAGCCTGAACATCCTTCATTAGTCACAGCACAGCACATTTATTCTCTGGAAGTTGCACCAAGTCTTTGAGTACCAGTCAGATGGGACAAAGCTCTAAAAGTCGGTATATTTTCATTAAAAATTCTGCTCTGTGTATGTCTCCTTAACCAAACGAAATGCCAATCCCACCGGCTGGAATCTAGCATTATCAATCTCCTGATTAGCTACATGAGATGGTACTATGAGTTCAGGGAGGAATAGTAATAATAACAATAATAAAACCTTTATTGGCATATAAAATAAACACATTCAACTTAGTTTGTTAGATTTCTGGATTCACAGAGAGCGTGAAACAAATACATTCGTTTGAGGTCAGGGCTTCACCTCCTAACAATCGACTTGAGGAAAACATCTACTTGTTCCATAATGTTGACCACCTGCACTGATAACATAAAACGGACCTTGTCCAGGTCGGATTTCCCCTCCAGCTCTAATAATATTGAGGTGACATACTTTTTGCAGCAGTCCTGATGTAGCGGACACTGCAAGAGCATGTGAGTGAGGGTTTCTAATGCACCCTGTTCACATGGACAATATCTTTTGACATAAGGGGTTCCGTTATACCTACCATACGATACAGCACCAGGCATGACATTATATCTGGCCAGAGAAAAGGCCCTGTGGTTTTGTTAACATTTAAGTAGTGTGAGGAAAGCAACTGGGTGTCCCATTCTAAAGGAGATGTGAAAATGGGGAGCAAGTCTTATCAGCTGTGCTCCATAATTCCTGAAACTCAATGTCCATTATTCTTCTCTTAATTGTTTGGGTAGCTCTAGGCCAGGGGTCAGGGAACTTTTTTACCTTTTACCCCCCCCCAAAAAAATTATATACGCCATTACCCCCTTGATTCGAAAGGAAGGAAATCATACATCATTTGAATTAAAAATATTATTGAATCTACACAGCCTGTGTACTGAACTAGCAGGATGCACCAAATTTGATAAAGATGTGCACTATTTTTGGAGATGTGCACTCCAGCCATGGTGTGGTATAGGGAGTAGTAAGGTGTCCAACGTTCCTAGCAAGTTGCATTAAATTTTTGCTAGCTCACAGAGGATTTAATCATCATCAGTGGCTACCAGAGTGGTGCTAGCAATGACATGCTTGCTAAAGATAGCCATCACAGAATTGGGGAGGGGCTTTCCCTACCACTTTAATCTTTCTATGTGTGGTGTGCAAAAAGGAACAAACCAGGCTAAAGGCCATGTCACCCACCCATGTCAAAGGACAACTGCACTATTTTTTTAATCATCATCATGGGAAAATTCAGCAGTGGCCTGAGGATTGGAAAAGATCAGTGTGACAACCCCAGACCTACTGGAGTATACCACCCTTTAACTAAGCTGCCACCAACCATTCCCTATAAGGAGTCACACAGACCAGGAATGGATTTTACTAAATAAAAGAACAAGGTTTATTTAAATAACAAACAGGGTAAATAAAATGATCAGGTAAAGAAGATACTGTAACGTGGCATAGTCCCAACCATATACATATAATAGTTTGGTTCACACAGAACACTTTAAAGTAAAGCACAGACCCTGAACCTATCAGTTCTGGCTACCCATAAAGAAACCTGAACCTATCAGGTATGTACTAACTGACACACAGTTGTACTCAGTCTGACACACAGACTCCCACTCCAGCTTCTTCACATCAGCTCCAAATATTTATACAGTACAGCTCCTCCCCCCTGATGTCCCGCCTTCCACTCCCCATAGGATGGAACTTTCCCTCCAAACCCATGACAGACAGGTACCATCAGTGCTGTATGTTACACCTCCCCTCTTTATAAGTTGTTTTGCAGGGGAAAAGCTAAAGTGCTTTTCTCCAAAAAAACAACCAGGATCAAAACACACAAAAACAGTTATACAATAACACAATCCCATACTTACACTCTAGGTTAAACATATCAATTAGGCATTTAAACATTAACATTTACAATACATTAAGTCACCTTTATTAATACAAACCAAGACTGATCAATAAACAAGTACATTTAACTTTTGGTCACCAAAATATACATAGTCCAT